ATCCCATCCCTTGGAGGTGTGGTGAAACATGTTCGATGGCTCCCTTCTGCAGAAGGACAGAAACCTCCTCGAGGAGAGGTGGGGAAGGGGGCGTGGAGATGATGACAGGAGTATTGGGGTTCTCGTGGAACTGAATTTTGTAGCCTCGGGTCAAGATGGAAAGCACCCACTCATCCGAGGTGATGAGTTGCCAAGCATGAAGAACGGGAAACAGATGGGTAGGAGCTGACTCAGTGACAGGGCAGTCAAAAACCTTGCTTGGAGGGTTTGGACTGTTTGGTGCGGGAAGCTTGTTGTCCGGAACCGAATTTTGGTTTCTGAAAGGCGGGTCTTTGGCCTCCCGAAGACATTCGTGGTCTCCATCGTGTGTCTGGAGACTGATGAGTTGAGGTACGCCTCTGCCAGGACTTCGACCAGGTGCAGGGCTGGTATTGTTGTTTTGCAAAGGAAGAGACTCCTAGAGCTCGAGACGCCTTTATGCTTTTATCTAACTCTTGTAGAGTAGAATCAGTGGTAGCATTGAAAAGCCCCAGGCCATTGAAAGGGAGATCTTCCACATAAGATCTAGTATCTATCGGGAGATTAGTGTTGCGGAGCCAGGAATGTCTTCTGAGAGCTATTGCAGAAGCCATCGTTCTGGAAGATGCCTTGAGGACATGTTCAGTAGTGTTGAGCTGTTGTTTTGCCAACACCATGCCCTCTTTTTGTATGACTCTGGCTGCTTGAAGTTTGTCGTCAGGGAGGTGGCTGAGGAGGTCTGAGAACCGTTCCCAGAGAGTGTATTGATACCGGTTCATACAGGCCAGGTAGTTAGTGGCCTTGACTCCCAATGCTCCCGTGGAGTAGAAGCGCCTACCGAAGGCATCTATTTTCTTTCCTTCCTTGTCAGAAGGAGCGGAATGCGTCCTCTTGGATTTGGAGGAAGATGTAATCCCCATAGAGTTTGGCTGAGGGTGTGAGAATAGAAATTCGGCATCTGCCTCTTGTACCCTGTACATATGGTCCAGTCGCCTTGTGGACACAGGAGCAGACGAAGGTTTTAGCCATGGTGTCTTTGCTGCCTGCAGAAGGACTGAAGACATGGACAGTGCCAAGGTGGAAGAGGTATCTAGCTGAACTATATCATAAACTGCGTCCGTTGCCTGTGGATGTTGCTGGACAACAGAGAGGCCTAAAGAGTGGGCCATTCTTTTGACTTGATCTGTGTAAGATGTAAGGTTGTCAGATGGGGATACGGGTAAGTCCTCAGCGACACCCTGGTTGGGAGAGGTATGGTCAGGAGAGGTATGAGCCTCAGAAGCCTCCGTATCTGAGTCCTCTTCTATGAAGTCAGAGGAGTCTTGTTGTGGTGTTTGGACCGAAGTGTCCTGTTGACAAGTTATGGGTTTAGTTTGGACGACGACCAAGGTTAGAGTGACCGGAGGGTTCAGAGGACGACTTGGTTCCAGAGTATGGTGGGAAGGATCGACTACAGGAGGACGTGACAGAGATGCTGAAGGTCTCGACTTGTGGGGCAATCTCGACCTATGAACAGAGTGGGACGAATAACGATCCCAATCAGAATAGCCCGCCAGAGTCAACCACGGCATGGATGGTGGATAAGCCCCGTACAAGTACCTCAACTGTCGTTTATTCCACGACATTGGTGGTGGAGGGGGCAGGAAGACTCTTGGGGAGCGACTTCTGGACCGTGAACGTCTTGGAGACAAAGCAGTACCCTGTCTGCGAGAGCCTTCCCTGTAGTCTTGGTTGTCGATATTGACAGATTGAGTGACCAAACGTGGAGGGTGACGCTGCGCGTCGCATGAAGTATATAGGTACCAACGTGGATCAATGTCGGGAGCTTCCGATACCGTCGATGTCGACGATGGGGAAGGAGACGGAGAAGGCTCTGCATCCATTTGATGACTTAGGAGCTCTACCGTTTCGATGTCGGAGTAAGAACACTCCATTTGTTGGATGGGGGAATCCAATAGTTGGATGGTCGGTATCGGTGGAGGGACTTGGGCCTCCAATATCAATACTGCCGTTGGAGTGGGAGGCACTTTAGGGGCATCACCCAGTGCAGACACCGCTTCCTTCCCCTTCTTTGCCGCCTTCAGGGACTTGGAGGTACCCTTTTTCGCGGACTTATGATCCTTACTTGCCTTAGCCTTCTTTTTGACTGGCGTGGAAGCGGACGATTATGCCTTCGATGTCGGGAGCTTCAGCGTCGGGCGGTCGACATCGGGAGGCAGGACTTGATATCAGAGCCACGTCGGGTGGTCGACATCGGAGGCAGGCCTTGATATCAGAGCCGTCGATGTAGACGGTCTCTCCTCCATCACTGAGGCAGGAGCAAGGGCCGATTCAAGCAGCGCCACTTTAAGGTGCTCAGCACGCTTTTTTTGCGTTTGATTGGAGAAACACGCACAGTGACGACAGGACTCTGGCTGGTGAGACTCTCCGAGGCAAAAAATGCAGAGGGTGTGACAGTCAGGAGGAGCCAGTTTGCTGCCTCAACCCTTGCACCTGTTGAAAAATCCCCACTTCTTCTCCATAAAAGAAGCGAAAAAGAAGAGGGAACGTTTGAGGGGGGGGTAGCCCGAAGGCCTGAGGTAAACTCCCCCTCAGCAGAAATCAAAGGTTTGGGTTTTTTTAAACTGTTTTTAAAGAACAAACAACCAAAAATTAAAGTAAAAGAAAGTTTGGAAATAATTCCTAAGAGCTGTGAGGCGAAAGCTAACAGCGAACCGATCGGACCGACGAAGAAGAGGTCTACTCAACGCGGCGGTAAGAAAGGAACTGGCTGGATGTCCGCGCCCACCCCTCTGGGCATGCGCAGTGGGGTTCCTGCGCATGCCCGAGGGACTGGGCGCGAAAATCCGTTAAAAGAGCTTGCTACAGCACCGATCGATCCAGCGCATGCGCACTAGATCCCATGTCAAAGATCATGCTATGCTAATGTAGTTCTTGCATTCGACAATCTGTACATCAGGCTTATGCTAGCTCTTACAAGTGCTTTTCTTACAGGTGTACTGTAATGTTTGATACAACTGTCATTTGCATTGTATTTCTATGACTCAACTAGTCACACAACAAAAATTAGTCCATTTCCAGTTATAAGACTTCTGAACATAGGGGCTTTGGCTCAGTGGCAAAGCATCTACTTGGCATGCAGAACATCCCAGGTTCAATCCCCAGCATCTTCAGGTAAAAAGATCAGGTAGTAAATAAAGTGAAAGACCTCAACCTGAGACCCTGGAGAGCTGCTGCCAGTGTGAGCAGATAATACCAACTTTGATGGACCAAGGGTCTGATTAAGTATAAGGAAGCTTCATGTATACTATGAATGGTGTTAATATATGCCACAATTTTATGATTTTTACACTTGCCTTTGGATTGTTTGCATCAAAGAGGCCAGTAGAAAGCCCTATCAACAGTGAGTTTTTGCCTCTAGTCTTTTCTGGTGATACAGAACGTGACCTTGTTGGAAGAGAATCATCAAATGAAGACTGTGCAGACAGAACTGGGGAAGCTGTTAGTATTGCTTGATACTGTGCCACCTTCTGGAAAAAGGGCTCACGTTGCAAAGAATCACTGAGACCAGTCTCTGGTATGATAAAAAGCAATAATTTAACAATTACATATTTCCCCCCACAGAAAAATTTGATTAAAAATGCTAAATATAATTACAAAAGTAATCAAAAGAAATCAGACATATAGCAAGACCTTATTCCACGTGGGATTCCCTTATTTTAAATTGCTGATTAAAATCAATGTTGGGCATACCAGTCTAAATAAAATCCCTGCAAAATCCTATCACCCACATGTAGAAGGCATACAGTTTCCCATGTTCCTCTCCTTTCCTGAAACTCTTTCTGACCCTTGGAATGATCCTTCCTGGGGTTCCAGGTCGATGTAGAGAAGCAGCCATGAGGGTCAGTGGGTTGGAGTGAGGAGGGACAAAGGGACAAAACTGACCCCTTTCTTCAATGGAACTACACTTGTGGAAGAGGGAGGAGGAACCATTTCCCCTCATCTCAACTTGCCATAGGGCACTACGCTAGTCAGAATGGATCTTATGGTAAAGCTATACTTCTGACTTCAGGGACGGGTCATTTGGTTACTTGTGAGCACTACAGATCACCATGCCTATGACATAGGATGAAACTTAGACATTAATGATCTGCTAGCATATGGAACCGTGAGTAAATAATAATGATAATAATAAGCACTTACATAGTACTTTCAGTTTTCAAAGGACTTTACACACATTATCTTAGTGTGAACCCTATGACAGTCTTGTAATATAGTTGATTTCCATACCTCCTTCTGCATATATGGCAGACGATGAAAGAGAATGGATTGCCTAACGCCACTTAGCAAGTTTGTATCAAAGATAAAATGTGATCTGAGGACACTCAGAGTCATAGCTCATTCTCTGAAACCTACTATGTTACACTTGGTAATTTAGCAACAATGGGTGTGTAAAGACAATATATACATCATAGTAACAGTTCATAAAAAAAGAATGCTGAATGCTATTGTGCAACTAGGAAAGGTGGAGAGGGATTCAGCCTACCCTTCTCTTCAAAATCCCCTAACTCTTGGGAAAATGAGATATATTACAACTTCTATAACATGGAAACCAACTTGCTTATCTCTTCTACATGGTAAGATGTGAGCTACCTGGTATATCAAAAGCACCAAATCAGATTGCTTCATCATTTAAGGCTCTGAATCATGCCACAACCTAACCCAATTGGGAAGTTGTGCTGTGATTTGGTAGCCTGCAAAATCAAATGCATGTTGAAGCAACGAGATTCTACAGTGAAGATTCAACATTCACTTATCTGGAAACAAATTTCCCTGCATTAGCTTGTTGTATCTATATGCTGCCTTTATTATCGATCTCAGCAAGGGAATGCCAGGAATGTTTCAGCCAGCACTGACCACATCCATGCCTGCTTAGCTTCAGCAAGGCAGTTGTTCATGGGGCAACCAATCATAAAGGGTTGGTGCAATCTGAGGTTTAGATCTTCTGTCAAGTGGAACACAGAATTTATACTTACAGACTGTCTCCAGTTTAGATTACCACTAGGGATTAATCAGAATCAGGCTGGCAAAACATGAAAGACTGTAGGCCACTACTTTTTCTTGTATTCCCAGGAAGAAGCAAGGCTGAATATAGTTAATACTCCTCACTTCTATAGCTTATGCCACTCAAGCTGCTGCTATTACTCATGAGTGGGGTCCTCAGTTTCCTTTTAATGCATTCATTTCTCATTACACCAGAGCACAAATTCTTGAGAGAAAGCCTACCTTCAACAGTATAATGAAGACACTTGTTAGTCTGAGCTTTAATATAATAGTTTTCCTTTTAACCAGTGGACCCATTTTGCACATCTAGTAATTACTAAACAGGATGCAACATTGAGTCATAATTCCATTCCTGTGGAGCTGAAATTCAAAACTCAACATAATTGTTCCACCAGTCTCTATAACCCAAATAGTTTTAATCCTGGATCATATAAAGTTCTGGCTCATGCTGACAGAAGCCCAAACTAAACATGAGAGTGACCTCTCTTTAAATATGGGTCTGCCCTATGTTGATCACACATAAATTGGGGTTGGGGAATTCAGCTTATGCATGGACAAGAGCAGGTTGAATTACTGTTGCTGACCCACTGAAGCTTCATCATGGAGTGGCATCTTTTTAAATACTCTTTCTTCTGAGGTTGGCTCTTCACTGTTGTCATACTGGTCACTATCAGTGTGATCCGGTGGCCTGTTAAAAGATCACCACAGGCAGAAGACAATTAAGGGACACAGCAAACATAAGTGAAAATGCACTTGTAACTCTAAACTCTAAGAAATAAAGTCAGGTGGTGGTGGTGATTGACTCACACTGTTGCCTTGACGTCTTCCCTTTCTTTAACCCACACTTCTTCAACAACAGGGAATACATTCACACTGCATATATTCTCTTTCGGTTCTACCAACAATTCAGTTTCCAAATCATCAGGCTCTGAGGGGGCAAAATGAGAAACAAGGATTGGGCTCTTGCATCCAAGTTAATGCCTACAGGATGCTAAAGTTCAGGAGAGGCTCCTGCCCTTATTGGGCACAAAACCCCATGTCTTGAGGGAGGACATTCAGGAAACCCTCTAACTGGTAGAGACTAACAATGCTCAAACACATAAATGGCAAGCAGCTACACACCTGAGGCCAAAATCAATACATGCAGGAGTGCAATGAGTGTTAGCACAGCCATGCATATGTTATTTTTGGTCATAAGTGGAGCGACAGTAAATCACAACTCTTTCTCTCTCAGACTTCCATTAATAACATTTCTAGAGTTTCTCACTAAGCAGAAGAAGGTGTGTGTGTAAATTTTTAATTAGTCACATGGACACATGGAACACAGACAACAAAAGACATACCATCCATCAGGTCATGCTTGGGTGACAAGCGTGTGAATTCTGGTGCAGGAATGCTTCTGGCTGTTATTGTTTCACTATTAGCTCCTTCAGGTGATGATTCCTCTCCACCAGGAGTTGTTTCTCTCAGTTCACTATTCTCTTTGACTGTTAAATTTTCTTTTGGTACTTCTGTAGTAAAGTTATAGATTCTTGTCACTTTATAAACTTCTCTCTAAAACAGGTTAACAGCTGAAGAGCTGAGATTTAATAAATTCTTCATAGACAGCAAATACCTCTATGGGCGGGGGGAAGTGTTCACTGAATCTGAAAACAGATTGTTTTGCATGGGTAAATCTCAAGAAATCTGCCATCACTGCAACTGTCACCTCCTCAGACAAACTGGAAGTTTTATAAATGTATTAAATGTATAAACACACCGCATGACAGGCTTCAAAGACTTCATAAAAATATTGGGGAGGGGGAACTAAATTTTTAAAGGCATAATGTCATGCTTAAGCGGTGAAAATACTTCAGCGAATCGATGTGCCTTAAAATTATGATCTAGAAGTTATTCCAGTGGTGGCTGAATTTTGTGTCACAATAAATCTTAGCACAGAACTTTCCTTTTCATGTCTTACAGTCTTAGGGGGGCTTATGACATCATAAATGTAAGTGAGAAAACAAATACCAGATGCCGATTCATAGCACAACAGACAACCAGATTTGCCTTCTAATTCTAGAATTAAAGTGCAGTGGAAAAGGCTTTGTGCCAAATGTTAAATTTATTCTCCTGTTAACAAAAACAAACAAAAAACACACTAGTCTAAGTTCCACCAGCAAAAATAAATTTAAAAAATCCAAACCACATCCAGAAAAAAAAATGTTAATGCAAAGCATACGTTCCTATGCAATTTTTAAATAACTAACCTTTGTAACTTCAATTTCTCCTTACCATTGGCAATGCTTAAGTCATCCAGTAGATCAGTCTGAAGTTGTAACTCGGCCTCTCCTAGTATCTTCAGTACTGAATTAGTTGGGCTTTTGCCCCAAACTTTTCGCTGAGGATCAGCAACATCTAGCTTAATCACTTCCCCAATTGTTTGTGCTGTAGGAAAATATTTAACAAATTAGCACAAAACTGTCTAAAAACTGTCAAGTACTTTTTTCATTTTTTATGAGCAAAGAAAAAACCACTTGTAAATAAAGAACTTCCTCCACCAAGTTATTTTTTTAAATACTTGCAGATATGAAGCCCTTGCCCAATTTCCTTCATCTTTAAAATGTGAGAGCAAATAACTGGTAAATGCGTTTATAAAATACTAATGCAAATACCAGTTTTTACTAACACAAATGTTTTCAGACAGTACAAATGCATCTACATTAAGGGTTGCATTCAATGCCCAAATTAGAACTGTTAAACTGTTGAAACTTCGCTTCTTTCCCTTCCTATTTTTATGATTATAAAACTGATTAATAATACTGTAGTATAGATAAAATAAAATATAGCAGATAAGATATAGAAAATTGAACTATATACTGGGAATAGAACTTTAATGATATTGGTTGTGGAATATAAAGCTAAACAAGGGGGAAAAGGGAACTATCTATCTAAAGATGTTGTGAGCGAGACAATGTCTAGGTATTTTAAAAATGTATTGCTCTTTTCTTTGTTGTCTTGTGTAATCCTTAAAAAAACACTAATAAACTTTGCCCATTTGGGCAAGTTAAAAAAAAAAAAGAAGGGTTGCATTCACAGAAAATAATCTTCGAAAAAACACTGAACTGATTAATGCGAGATTCAAAATCAGGTAACAGGAAAGTAAAAGCTACCAGCAGTTACATTTTCCTTTCCTCACTTTCTCTGCCTCAAAATGTGTTTGACAGCAGAGAAATGTTAAAGAGAACTCAACAGTAACTTACTGTGAATTAACCATGCTTATTGTTCTCGCCTTAGTAAAATGGAAAAACAAAGAAAGCCCACACACAAAACAAACTGTCTGGGGAAGGAAGTGTTGGTACAAAGTGTTGACTAAAATCAAGATCAATCCATTTTATGTGGGGAACATTAATACAGTTTGGTGAAGTGGTTAAGTGTGCAGACTCTAATCTGGGAGAACCGGGTTTGATTCCCCACTCCTCCACTTGCAGCTGCTGGATGACCTTGGGTAAGCCGTAGTTCTGACAAGAGCTGTCCTTGAAAGGGCAGTTCTTGAAAGAGTTCTCTCAGCCCCACCTACCTCACAGGGCATCTCTTGTGGGGAGGGGAAGGGAAAGGAGTTTGTAAGCTGCTCTGAGACTCCGAGTGAAGGGCGGGGTATAAATCCAATCTCCTCTTCTTCAAAAATATAAGTACGGTAGCATCTTCAGACACAAAGAGGTAGCAAGTAGCCAGATGAGCAGAAATGTAAATGGTGTCTAGAGGAAGCTAGTCTGTACAACACTAAATGGTGTATAATATGGCAGACAAATTCAAGATTTATCAAAGCAGTTGGGCTCTCAGGTGGGGATAAATCTGTTACCAAAAACCCACACTCCACACAAAGGATGTCAATATATAATCAAGTCCTGAATTACGAACAGTTGAATGTTCGATATCATGGATACATCTGCACTTTACTTTCTCCCAGTTGTGATATACTGTTGCTTCCTTGGGCTTTGTGTAAAACAAATGATGGAGAAAACAGGGATTTGTGTGGAGCCCCAGCCTCTGAACAGAGGGGACAGAAAATCAGATCTAGCCAAGCTTCCAAATTTAGTAGTCTGTATCTACAGCTCTTTGAAGGCCTTAATTCAAGGCAAGATAAATAATTCAATAAGTGGGCATCCAGGTTAGGAGGACCTGATATAGTTAATAAAACTGGTTTGGTACAAAAGATCATTGGCACAAAACACTTTAAAAGAATTTTTTACCATCTGTCCCTGAGAAGGATCCTTCCATTGTTAACTGAGTTAGAGGAACCACAAGTTGAGCCCCTGCCTCCCACTTCTTGCGATCTGCTAAAATCAAACACTTCTCTTCTTGAGGCTGGTTACTTCCATCAGCCACCACTACTTCATCACTGCATTGGGGCTCATTGTGCTCTTTCACATCTTCTTGAGCTTTAAAGTTTTGATTCAGTCTTCGGAGTATTTCTCGCTTGCTCTGACACAGGGAGGAAATAATCCATTTTAAAATTAAACTCTAAGGAAAAGAACAGAAATAAAGTCCAAATCACTGAGCTTACCTGAACAGACACATCAGGTTCTAGTTCTGCCGAAGGTTCCTGAGAAATAACAGCATTTGCATCCTTTAACTAAAGGAGAGATGAGACAATCTGAATTATTATGTTAATTAAGTAAATGACTAGAAATAAGAACAGAGGGAAACAATATTGGCCATTAACAGCTGCAAACAGCATGTTTTGACATTATTATTATTATTTGATGCTGTTAATGCCAATGCCAACGGTGAGGAGCCTGGCATGATCCTGGAAACCTCACTTTCAATGGAGGCCCAGGTCACGAATGTTGCCAGATCTGCCTTCTACCATCTTCGGCAGGTCCCGCAACTGGCTCCCTATCTTTCTCCCAGTGACTTAGCCACAGCGATCCATGCACTGATCACCTCCAGGCTGGACTGCTGTAACTCACTCTACATGAGGCTACCCTTGAAAGAAACTGATCTGGAAACTCCAGTAGGTTCAAAATCCAGCTGTGCTTGTTCTCACTGGGACCTCAGGATGAGCACATATACAACCTGTGCTCCACCAGCTGCATTGGCTTCCAGTTGACTACCACAAGTTCAAGGTTCTGGTATTAACCTTTAAAACCCAGTGCGATCTAGGACCATCATATCTGCAGGACCGTCTCTCCTGCTATGTCCCCCAAAGAGCTTCACATTCTTTAGATCAACACCTACTGGTGGTCCCCAGCCCGAGGGATGTCTGCTTAGCCTCAACCAGAACCATGGCCTATTTGGTTCTGGCTCCAGCCTGGTGGAACAGTCTTCCAACTGAGATCAGGGCCCTGTGAAATTTGCTACCATTCCGCAGGGCCTGTAATTGATTGAGGTGGCGGACACCCCATTAGATCCCCCCCACCCCGCTCTGTTCCATCTCCTGTGTTATCTTAGTACAGGTACAAACTTAGATACTGACTGTGGGAACTTTGCCACTTCTTGGGGAAACAGTAAAATTGAGTACACATACATGGACCAAATTTTGCTGAGAGCACTTTAATTGGATTATAGCCATCTTGTAATTTATTTATGAAACTGAAGTTTAAATTTTTACTGTGTTACGTTTTAATCTTTTAAATTGTTGTACTGGTATGTTGTAAGCTGCCCAGAGCCTGCTTGTGGGACAGGGCGGAGTAAAAACCGAATAAAATAATTACATACTCCTTCTAGGCAGAATTTCAAACAGTCAAAATCTCTGAAACAGCGCCAGTTATCATACTGGCTATCATATACAGTGAGTCTCATGTTGAAAAAGCACGTAAAATATAACGAAATAATCTGTTTTGCAAATCTGTTTCATTGTTGATACAAGAATCAGAAATCATATTAGCTTCCAGATACTCACACAATGACATGCATGCAATCACATCATGGCCAGATACTACTGTTTATTATGACCCATACGCCTAGTTTTGGAAGTCTGGAAACACAGAGTTTGTTTGTTTGAGGCTAAGCAGAGGGAAATGCCCTGGAGACTTTGCCCTTGGAGACCTGGGCTCACAGCCACACTAAGACAACACCTCCCTGAACCTAACCTGTCTCACAAGCGTACTTTGAGAACAAAATGGAGGTAGGGAGAACCATGAGCTTCCTGGAAGAAGAAGAATCACAACAACAACACCTACCGCACCCACTTCCTTCAAAGCTGATGTCACGGAGATGACTTGAGGTGAACTGGGCTTTGACAGCCTGGTAGGCGAACCTCCGGCTTGCAGTTTGCCATGTGTGGGGCTTAATTCTGCAATTCCCATAGGATTCTTTATCCCTCTGGCTACAAGCTGTGGATAGAATACATACATATATCCTATATATCATGACCACGTGCTAGTTACCTGAAAAAATGAGAAGCTGCAAAGGGCCTCCCCCCAATCTTTTTAAAGCAAGCAGTAGTGTTTGAAGCAGAATGCTTGAGCATGTTCTGTTTTCATGGATTCCATCCTAGGTTATTATAAATTAGTTATTTCGTCATACTGCATTACCTTGGGGTGTAATATGACCACAGTGAATATACTATTCAAAAGAGTCATACGGCCAGGGCTCCAGAGACCTAGTTGCCAGTAATAGTGTCACCATCCCTGGGACTGCTGCCCCCTCCACCCCCGATAATAGATTCTCAGGACAATGCAGTTGACTAGCATGGGTGCAACTCTGCTTAAAGTGGTACTGAAGGAGGACTGAAAACGTCTTCTCTTCCTTTGCATCAGGTTTTGCAAAAGAAATGAAACATGAATCTTATGCCAAACAGAAGAAACTCCCCTTTGTAAACCACAGAATCTGGGTAAAAGGGATGGTGACCATGAACAGTGGCTAGCAACAAACCAAATTATAATTTAAGATTCAGTGCATTAGGTGCCAGCCTCTAACAGCTTAATATTTCAGGGGAGAAAAAGTAAGAAATGTGCTCATTACAAACAAAAATGGACGCCCTATTCAATCCAGCATTTTTCATCTGCTTAGAAAATAGAAGGTGTTGAATCACGGCATCAAGTAATCATTTAAGCATAATGCTTTCCTTCTCCTTCTCCCAAAGAGCCAGTTTACTTTCAAAGAACAACTCCTTCTGTAATCAAGGTCTGAGAAGCACAGATCTGGCTGCGTGTGTTGTTCCTTTAGTGCCAGGTAAATGAACATAAGAACATAAGAGAAGCCAATTAGGCCTGGAGAGCGACCCCCCCCGGGACTCTAAGGGGGGCAGGCCAGGGGGGTCCCTGGAAGGATCAGAGAGGCCATTTCAATGCCTCCCCGGCCTATCCAAGGGCCGGCTTGCCCGGGCTTCCTACAGCCGCGGGGCGCCCAGGCAAGCCAAAGGAAGGCAGTTTAAACTCGGGTGTGGCCTAATATGCTAATATGTTTCTGCTGTTGGGTGTGGCCTATTATGCTAATGAGTTCCTGCTGGGCTTTTTCTACAAAAAAGCCCTGCTTATTACACCTTATTTATAGCTCTGTAGCTGTCCATCATAACTCAGCCAAACAAGGTCTACCAGCATAGTGTGTACATGCTCAAGAATTCTCATACAGTATCTTCTGTCCTGCAGTGGTATAGTACTGTCAGCAACAACTTTTCTGCTATATCTGTGGGCAAGGAGGGGAACAATCTGAGGGTTGACATGTTAGTGTCGGCAATAATGGAAGGTTCTCAACAGTCCAATTCCTCAGCTATTACTTGGGAGAAGCACCTTACACATACATTAATTGGTACTATCTTAGAGGGGAAAACAAGTCATGAATCTGGTAAGGGAAGAAACTGTACACACACTGAAGAGCCATAAAAAGTGCTTTTGATCTAGATCCAAATCACAACACTGAGTGGGATATATGCTAAGCTCAGGGTGAGAACTCATACCATCAATAATGGCTGGAGTACAATTACACCATGTATTAGAGACTGACTTTTTGCATAAGAAAGACAAAGATGACTTGATGATCTGCGGTTTTTCCAACTAAGAAATATGCCGAAGGGGGATGAAAAGACAGATTTTGTTTTGCAATCATAAGTAAAATTTTTGTAAACAAAATTATATTTGTTGTAGAGCAAATTGGAAGCCTTTTATATCCCCCTCCCCTTTTAGTTTGTTTTGTGGTGTTTGGTTTTGGAAGTTTTCATTTTTTCTGTATGTCTTCTAGTTTTATCCCTTCAATAAACCTAAAATTTGTAATAATGGCTAGAGTACACTAACGCACTTAAAAACATTTTGGTTACATAATAAAGGAAAGAGACAACACTGGTACATGGGTCAGCATCTTTGGAGCTACTACAGGAAAAACACAGACCTTCTTACTTCTTACTTTAAAGCTTGTTCATAGAAATCTCATTAGCAGGTACAAAGATGCCAAAAGCTTAACATTTCTTACATGTTCTTCCCAAGCTCTCTTCTCTCTTTCATAAGCCTCTTTTCTTTTTCGTTCTAGCTGTTCTTTTAGGACTGCAGCCCGGGCATTTGCTTGTGCCTGGAAATATGGCCCCAAAAATAATCTATCAGCAACAGACAATCTTCTGAATTCAATGAAAACCTCAGCCATTATCCTAACCAATTAAGATATTTTCTGCATCTTTCATTGCGTTTATTACTGACTCACCAACATTTTGTTGCAGAAATGTGTCTTCTACACTGAAGAGCCGTGTATGAGAACTGGGTGAGAAAAGTGGCATCAAATCTGGAAATGTTCCCCTGCTTATGCTAGAAGGGTCCCCCCCCCCATGAAGCTATACAGTTTGTTTCCTTTTTTTAATTTCATCTCCTCTAGAAGAACCTGAAATAACCTGGCTTTATACAAGAGGGTCCACTGGAACCGATATGCTTGTCAATATGCCTAGCTTTGCAGTATAACTATTATCCTTTTCCTTTGTATTGCAAAGAACCATGGTGTTTTGACTACTGTAATTTGCTGTACGTGTGCCTACCTTTGCACTGGAAGCGCCAACTTATCCAGAACACAGCTATGTGGGTCCCTACTGGGACCCCCGAGACAGCACACATTCAACCTGTGCTGTGCAAGCTGCACCTGGCTTCCAGTGGAGCACCAGATAAGGTTCCAGGTTTTGGTTCTGACCTTTAAGGCCCTTAGTAGTCAGGGACCTACATACCTTCAGGACTGCCTCTCACAGTATGCCCCTGGAAGAGCATTACACTCAGAGAATAAGAACCTCCTGGTGGTCCCCAGCCAGAGAGAGATCCAGCTGTCCTCAACCAAGACCAGGGCTTTCTCGGCCCTGCCCCCTGCCTGGTGGAACTCTCTGCCACAAGACATCCATCCTGTGGGAGTTATTATCTTTCCCCAGGGCATGCAAGGCAGAGATGTTCTGCTAGGCACTTGGTTGAAGACAGCAATGCAGGACAGTATGACATCTGGCACTCTCATATACTTTCCCCATCCCTTGCAACCTCTCCCCTCAAGGAGGCTGGGGAGCTAATTCCCCCCCCCCCCATCTCTGTGCGTGTGTGTATTGTTTTATTTACTGATCTGCTTTTAGGTGGTTTTAATGTTGGTTTTAACTTAATGAATTTTGCATACTATTTTGTTGTAAGACACCTCCCCCCCCCGAGCCCTGCTTATAGGGAAGGGTGGCCTAGTCAATCCAATTTAATAAATAAATACGTTTTTATTGAACATAATTTGTTTTTCTTCAAGGCAAGACCAATGTTTCACAGAGCAGCTGATGAACATAAAACCAGTCTCACAAGATAACAGTAAGTTCTCAGTATGAAAGGAAACATTTAGTAAAGCCTTGTTTTGGGAATTTCAAACAGTGGGCTTCAGAATTTAGGCAGAACTCTACAGAAGAACCTGGGTTGTACTTCACACTCAGATTCCCTTTCTCAGCATACTTGGGCTTGGATGACAACCAAGGACCACAACAGAAGAGTCATCAGAGCAGCAAGACATTAATTTTCAAACACTGTGGCAGCACAGGTGAGAGGTGCATAAACAAAATTATCAGTGCCCACCAAATCAGCATGACAAGAAGTGGTGCAACCTGAAGTGGGTTGCTTCCTGCCAGTTTTTCCATGCCATCTTCTCTGATTCCTCTCTTCGCTGTAGCTGTTGTTCACAGGTGCCCACATGAAATGCCAGCAGGATACAGCCAAGTGAGGCCAGGAAAATGAACACTACCATCTCTTTGGGGGACCATATATAATTTCAAAAATTGCTATGACAAGGGAATTTCAATAATACAAGTGCAATGGGGGTAAGAAACGAGTGCTGGCCTGCATGCTGAAGAGGAGTCCAATATAGTTAAGAAATCAATCTTGCCTGGGAATATTTCTATTTCAATTTTATTAGACTTTGCAGCTGTTTTTGATACAGTTGGCCACACAATCGTGTTAAAGTATTTGGAGCACAGAACTGAAGTGAGGAGGATAGCACTGAAGTGTTTTAACTCTTCTCTAGCTGACTAACTTCAGATGATTGTTGTGGGAGAGGCTCAAATTGTGGGACATACTCTGCTGGGTCCTACAAGGTTCTGTATTGTCAACTATTTTGTTTATTATTTACATAAGACTATTGAGTGGATTGACAGATGTATTCTGATGATACCTGGCTTTACATCTCTTAGACAGCCTTCAGTAGGCACCATCTCTATTCAGGGGCAGTGCCTGGATGCTGTGGTCAAATAACCAAGGGGGAACATGCTGAAGATAAATACAGATAAAATGGAGGCGATATTAGTTGGTAATGAATTGCACTGCCAGTTTTGGATGTTGTCTTGGAAGGAATTACACTGCCAGTTTTGTAGCAAGTAGAAGAGCTTAGGTGGCCTGCTGGACCCAGCCCTCTGGTTAACCTGGACTGCTGTTCTGTATTAAGACTTTGGAATCAAGGTCAGACTCTGACAGGCTATGGAAAGACCATCCACCCTGTAGCCATCTCCAGGAAAGGGACTGTAGAGGTTCCTGTAAGATTCACTAACAAAAATATTTTTTTCACTTTTTTTATAGTGTTCTGCCTAAACTCTGCACATCTATAGATTGTTCCTAAGTGCCTGTGCTAGGATGTATGTTTAGTTATTAAACTCTTTTTATACCCATGATCTTTTGGGTTGGTTATTGAAGACTGCTTGGAGAAAATCCCACCCATCTGTTACTTAATGCTGCTCAGCTATGCTGCCCAGCTCAGTCAGTGCTAAAAGGGATAGTGCTGAGAGAGGAATACAGAGACATAGTCCGCAGGCCAGACCAGATGTTGGTATCAATTAAGGTGCAAACACTTCTTAATGTTTTTCTGAAAGGACTATATCTATCTATTATATTCTGATGTGATAACCCATCCTGACTGGTAGCTTAAGCATTTTTTGATGACCTCAAGATGGCTGAAACCAACTTTTCCTACCTTTTCTAATTTGAGCTTTAACTTGGGAGCCAAGGAACCAATGTCCAATTTTAAAGCACTACTGGAAAGCTAATAAATTCACCTATTTGTAACTAATAGTAATAACAAGAGGTGGGACCCACAATACTTGGTGGTGGTGGGGAGTATTCCCCGCAGGTCCTGGCTGGCTGGCCACTGAAGCAGCAGGAGCTCCACATGGAGGAGAAGGAGGAGGAGGCGGCCGCAGGTGAGCCCAGCAGGTGGTCCGCCAGGCTTCCCCCCCCACCCGCCCACAGCAGCAACAACCGCGGTTCCCAGCCGCCAGCCCACCAAGGCTTCTCCCCCCACCGCCGCCACTGACAGCAGCAACAGCGGTGAGCCCTGTGGGCTCCCAGCCACCTTCCCGCCAGGCTTCTCCTCCCCCCACCCAGCAGCAACGGCAGTGAGCCCTGCGCAGCTCCCCGCCACTATGCCTGCCAGGCTTTTCCCCCTCTGCCACAGCAACAGCCATGATTCCCAGCTGCTGGGCGCCAAGGCTTCGCCGCTGCTGCCAGCAGCAACGGCAGCAAGCCCTGCATGGATCTGCCACAGTTCGCAGTGGTAAGTGCACATGTGCAGGGGACTCTTTTACTTTTGTGGGGGTTTAAATATCTCCCGTATAGTTTTTAAAACTTTTCAGATTTTTCTGCACATATGGGGATTACCCCAAGTGTGCAGGAAAATCTCTTTCCCCATAGCTTCCCCCGATGTGCGGATTTAGTTATCCGCATGCAGGGGGCAACTTGGCTATTAGTATATAGATGCCTCTATCCATTGCCATTTTTGTGATATAAGGCATAAATAAAAGAAAAAAATAAATGTCTATTACGCTTTTATAAGGGTTAAGGCATATGGTGCTATACTAGGCTTGCCATTCCCCAGGTCAAAGCCAAGAAAGAAAAAAAGTCAAAACTGTAAACAAACTGATATGCATTAAAAATATTATTATTATATTATCTCAGTGTCTTCAATATTATTCTTAGCCAACTTTCCTATGTAAAGCTCCTGCCCACCACTGACTGGCAGGAGGAAATCCCCCATCTCCCCCAAACAGTGTCATCCTGTACGATGCGTCGACACATTGGTGACACTGGGGTGGTCTTTTTGACAGTCTGCATTTTGGACAAAACTCTATAGTTTGAGGTAACTTTCACCAGAGAGTTTTGCCCAAAAAGCAGAGTGTTGCCTCCCAATGCACTGATGTCACTTCTTGGTGACATCAACGTATCACACTACACCTCACCCACCCCCAGAATGCCCCCCAAAGCCCCCTGCTGGTGAGACAGAGCGACCTGGCAACCCTATACTATACCTAATCCAGACAGTCACCTAAAGTGTTAGACAACTGTAGCTTATTCTTAGTAGTGGGATTTAATTCGCTTCCAACAGTGTATTAAAATTTGAAAGTCGCCACTTAGCTCCAGAAGTATAGCTCAAATTAGAATAGGTAAGAAAAATTGGCTTTGGCCATCTTAACAACATCATAAAACTCTTAAGCTACCAATCAGAATGGATTATCACATCAAAATGTAATACATAGACATACTCCTTTCAGAAAAACAAAGAATCTTTGCCACCTTACCTCATACCATTATACCAATTTTTGGCTCTTGACCCACAGACAAAACCTGAGAGGGGGAGAAGGGCCTCTTCTGGACCTTGTCTATTAATCCTCCCCACCTTCTCTTTTTCTATTCAATAATATTCTTTCCTCCATATCTCCTCTGTGTGAGAGTCACTTTGAAGCAACAGTTCTGTAGCCCCATTTGTCTCACAGCATTACCATACCCCACTAGCCTTCCTGTGCTTATCTTCCTTCTGTTCCATGGTGGCACCATAAGCAATACTGCAGCAGTGCTGTTAATGGCTCTCTGAAGCCAATGCAGCAAATTCTGTACCACTATCACCACTCTCCTTCAATGTTACCTTTAGTGCTTCAATTTTTTTACGTCTTATTTCTGCTTCTTCACTTAGTTCCTGTGCAGAAGAACCTCCAGCTTCATTCTAAAAATAAATGTGACAGATATGGCAATTACAAAAAAACCCCAGAAGAGAGTATTTTAACCATAACCATAACTTTTGTATGTTACCTTGCAAAAGCATGGATTCCTTTGAGACTCCATGATGGTCTTACCAATAATTTGTAAGCATGAAAATACATAAACTTAGGCTACAGTGGATTTTTCTCAGTAATTCCTATGACTTAATCTCAAGAGGCAAAACCAAAATAGTTTACAAATATTTAAAATGTCAATTCAGAATATTAAAATCTCTGTTTTATGTGTCATTAATTCATTTCCAAGTTATGGTGACCCTATGAATTAATGACCTTCAAAACATCCTATCATTGACAGCTTTGCTCAGGTCTTCCTTTATGAAGTCAATCTGTCTCATGTTGGGTCTTCCTCTTTTCCTGCTGTCTTCAACTTTTCCTAACATTATTTTCCAGTGAATCTTATGATGTGACCAAAATATGATAGCCTCAGTTTAGTAATTTTAGCTTTTAGGGAGAATTTACGCTTGATTTGATCAACATCTACATACACTCAATTCTAAATTTTAACATAACTACTATATGTTTCATATATTACTAAGCATGTGTTCAGTTAGCAAGCTGGGGGAAAAAAACTTTGGGTAAAACTGTTTCATGCCGTATTGTGGTACCAAATTAAAGCTCTGCACAAGGTAACACTAGCCCGCAGGAGCCACCAATCTGGACCAAGCATTGTAATGTAAACATGTCTGCAGAGACAGCCAGTCTTCTGTAGTCCTTAGATATGCAGAGGGTCACGTATTAGCACCTGCTCCCAGAACTTTTTCAAGTTGTCAGGTTGTCATATAAGCTTTGCAACAAACAGCTAAAGACAGCACACAAACAGTTCTCCACACATTAGTGCTCCCACAAGCAAGGTTTTGAACCACCATCTTCTACAAGTACATAGTTAAAGTCCTGCACAAAAGACATAAACTAGGCATCAAAGATCTTGATCGGAGGAAATTTCCTCACATTCCTCACCTTCACCACAAGACTTTCTCTGCTGGCATATTATGGTTTTCACCAGTCAGGACATCACTGAAAGTTGTGTGTGTGTATTTAACCTCATGATGCTGTGCACTATGACTTAAAATAAATGCATTTTTGTTTCACTGATGCATTTAATAAAACAGGTTGCAATTAACAGTGAAGACACAGCCTAATCCTGGTGCAGTGGCACTATCAGGATGCTATCTAATTGACAATATTCCCTTTCAAGGTGTCTGTGTCCACACTAACCTCAGTTAGACCCATACAGAATGGTTTCCTAACTAGTCATCCATTTGCCTTTACTATTTGAAATATACAACAGAACAAAAGAATCCTACACCCAAGCATCCAATTAAAAAATTAAATATGGTAACTTTCTGGCTAAATTCAGATATCACAATAAACTGATCAAACCTCAGTCCTGATTCCTGACAAACCAACAAATGGGACTTTAAGCTAGGGTTTGTAACTGATTTTAACCACTGTTTCTACTAATTATGGTTTGTTGTGAAGTCTGAATTCATACATTAAAGTTAGTCGAGTAGCTTCGTCCTTCTAATTACCTGGCCACATTATAGGGAGAACATCCTTCCCATTGGGAGGCAGAAGAGAAGCTGACAAGCCAGGGCTTATACCCAAACCAGAATTTGTTACTCAGATCCATTAGACTAAGAGTTTATTGCACAAGCCATGATTTACTGTGACATTTGAACGCAACCGCAAACTAAGATATTTGCATCTAATACAAAATTTTAGATAAGCTTTCATCTTTTAATGACTAAAAGGTATTTGCTTTCAGAGGACAAGATAAGCAGAGTTGTATTAAATTATTTTGTCATGTTTATCAGTTGGAGACATGGTCCACCTGCCTTTTCTCCACGAAGTTTAGCTTTAATCTGCTGACGTTCATTGAAATTCTGAAGTCTAATTTGTCTTAGCCTTGCCAAGTACTCCTGAAAGAAAAACAAAATAATCAAAGGCTTTTCCATCAGTGGAAATCTGAAATAATACAGACGTTTAAGAACATACGTACAATGCATAAAATGGTTGAATTAATGGGACAACTCTTGTGGATGTGCTAGAACCACTAAATTTCTTAGACTTTCTAGGTAAATTCAGTTATTCATTTGAACTATTACTTGAGCATCAGGAAATCTGGAACAGTTATATATTTTAAGAGAAGAGGAATGATCTCTTGCTGATTACGTATAACAGTTATGTTAATTCATCTAAAGAGGCTTTTCTAGGAACTGTGTGTTGATACTAATGGGGACTCTTAGGAGGAGCCCTTTCTCTTGGTTATACATGAAAACTCATGCAGATAAGATGAGGCAAAGAAAGTGGCTTTACGTATGTAATGAAGGCAGCAAACATGCAGGAAGCATACCTCTTCCTCCTTGTTTCTGGCTTTCCTTCCTCTTGAAGAAATGGGCCTGCCTCCATAGATAGCTGCCAGGTTTTGCAGTGTATCCTGTTCACCATTTAATGTATTAAATTCAAGAATGGCTGGAGCTATCACATTACCTAGCCTTATATCTAATCAACAATAGTCATTGATAATTGCTAACTGAAGTTAGAGCAAAAAATGCAGTCTTCTCATTGCCCAGTTTTGTTTCCTTTTCTTTGCTTCTGTCTTTCTCATCCTTTACCAGGAACTAGGATTTTGTATTTAAACTGACTGACACACGAAGTTTGAACTTAGTTGTCTTGCTTGCTCAAAATGGCTTACTAACTTAACTAAGTTTAAAAGTGATCAGAAATACAACTTCCTTTGTAACACATTTTAACATTCAGTGGAATCTCACTTTGGAAGCTTTTAATAAGCTTGTCATCACATTAAATGCACTCACACAGCCTTGCAGTAAATTTCATTATCAGAAATGTATACTACAGGTGACAAAGTATAACACATTAGGTATACACTTCTATAAATGTAGGACATACATCATTCACTTGGAAAGCTGACAGTTTCTTTGGACACACAAAAATTCGTACCAATACCTGATGCAGCTAAACTGCAACCTATAACTACTTAAGCAGGTAGCAGAGGTGCTGCACCCATTTCCTATCTAGAGAAGGCAGTGAAGAGCTTCGTCTTTTGATGAGTAGGTTTGACCCAGAGTGCAAAGCATCTGGATTCCAGAAAGCCTAACAACTTCCTAGAAATTGAGATTACACGGATGGGCCTGGACCTCCTGTGGCAGGTCGAGGCAAAGGCACTTTTCCTCTGCCTTAAAACTGTAAAGTTCAGACTACACACAAATAAAGCGTTCCAGAATAGGCAACAGACACAAGGCTAAGCTTTTCGTAACTCTTGTGAACATGGCAGCCCTCCGTCCCTAGTGGACACTCCTTTCAATAGCTTGCATTGTGGGGCATGAAGCTGCTGTGCTGAGAAAGTGCACGTAAATGGATGCACTGCAATTACAGCTTGCATCATGATTAGAAGTCTGGAAATGGTCAGGTGGCCTGCATTTTCTTCCTTTTACTGTTTTATCAACTTCATTATCATAATTTTCTTAGATCACTGAAAACAAAAAAGACTGAACTTGTCACAATGCAAGCTGCAGCTTTACAACGCTACCCTTCTTTAAGATGGGGGCATTTCATTCCAGCCAGCAAAACATAGCCTGTTTTTCCTCCTGACTTTTAATATCATTTGTCTCATCTGTGCTATCTTACATAAGAGATACATAGGATTCAGAGGACAGCAGCAATAAATAGCACTGCACTTGTTTCTCTGGACAGGAACTACAGCAATGCCCCCTATTTATCTGTATGTAAAACATATTTTCTGCAGATGCAAATAGTCCAAAAGTCACAGGCTTCCTGCATGGCAGGTATTCGGTATTTATAACTAGACACTGAACTCCCCAAAAGCTGAGGTTGGGTTGTGGTTAAAAAGAGAACTGCACAGATACTGGCTTTTCCACAACAATAATATGAATACCAGCTTATTCATGGTAGCTCAATCAAAAGGACAACAAATTTTTCACATACTTAACCACTTCATGGCTCAGTAAGTTTAAGTAAAACAGCTGTCTGATAAGTTATACATGCTAGAGCAGCATGATTTATGTGGCTGCAATGAGCAAGAGGATGGTGTACTGCAGGGCTCTCTGTCTCACAGCAGCTCCCTTCAAGGCCTGTCAAGTTACTCCTAAGCTTGGGGACAGTAACAGAATAATCCTCTAATATAGCAAATTCATTGGAAGGAACTATTATCAGATTAAAGTTGAAAAAAATCCCACTTGAGCAAATTAAATGTGCTGTAGAAGTCAAGGGACTTCTCTAGATTATGACTGTCAACTTTTCATTGCTACCTACATTATTTATTTTATTATTTTATTTTATTTGTTTAATTTATATCCCGCCCTCCCCGCTATGGCAGGCTCAGGGCGGCTTGCACATCTTGCCACACTACCTATAGTCAAAGGAAAATGCAGACTGTACACTGGAAGATGATCAATGGGGATAAGAATATCTTTTAAACTGTTTGTATACAAGCCACTTGTATCCATTTGCTATGAACAGCACTAATAAAATGCTAAAGTCTAAGACACCATTATCTTACTGTAAAGATAAATGTTTTCAAGATCTTATGAGAGTTTATAGTTAAAAAGGGATTTAAAAGTTTGTTGAGTAAAAAAGCCCAACGCTTCATACCATATGTCCTTCAGCGCGAGCTTTGTTTTGCAATGCTTCTCGCTTCCGCTGCCAGAACTCTTCAACTTGTTTAGCTCTTTCTGCAGCCACCCATCCTTTGTGCCTGTGTAAAACACGGGGAAAATCCAAGACAGTGACAGCCTTTAATTCTAGTCACCTATCATTCTGACCATGGGGCCTGTCTTACGAAATCCCTACAATGGCTGCCTGCTTCTAGACCCAGCATTCACTTCTCAACCTTACCCTTCAAAGGTCTGCATGGTCTTACTCCACCTTACCTCTCTGCTGTCATGTCCCAGTACAACACTGCCCTTTGCTCTTCCAGATTCACCATTCCTAGTGAATAAAGGTCTCTGCTCCCTCAGACTACTCTGCCCTTTCTCTTACACTGCCCCTTGGGCTTGGAAGGACCTCACAGAACACCTGTGAATCTCATTTATTTATTAAAACATTTACACCCCACCCTTCCTCATGGTTCAAGGCAGTACTTCTTTCAAGCCCCTCATCAAAACCTTTTTTATGGCACAACGCTTTCTTTCTACTGAAACGAAGCTGAAGCACTTGTAATGAACATATCCTTCTCTTTCGCCCCCACTTTTACATTCTTCCTTTCATAAGCTTGACCTAAAGTCACATCCTCTTGAATTCTGCAAGCTCGTCAAGGTCATTGAAGGCATTATATACCACACTGCTGCCATAATTGGCTCACATTCATCTGTCATCTGGAGGAAGTAGCGTGTGAAACAAATACATAAATGCCAATTTACCTGTACGTACCATGGTATCTCAGCCTTTCTGGAGATGCCACAAGCATGGAAATCATAGAAGCATGCATACTTCTTATTCACACAGTACTTTTATCAGATGTACATAGGAAATTTAAAGGTGCAATCATACAAGTTCCACATCCTTTGCCTAAATCCTGCATTTTCCTATCAGAGGAAGTCTGGAAGCCTTAAGCTCATGTTTGTCTGAATTCATGGATAGGTAACTGCAATCAACTTTGATCCTTCCTGGAGTGCCCACTCAGGCCCTGAACCCCGTTTGATATCTTTGCACTAGAATGTCACAAGCGGGGGACCCACAAGGACTTGCAGGGGCCATCTTATTTCCTCCCACAGTATTTCCTCTGTTCCTTTCCTGAAAGCCCCCACAGGCTTTCCCCTTTTCCTGCTTCCCTCTCTCCTTCCCACCCAGCAGCCAACATACCCATATCTGTCCCTCTGTCTTCAGCTTTCACGCCTTACTCTCACTGGCAGCCTCCCCAAGAGAACTCTGTTACACAGTACTGGCCAACTGCATGGTGGGGAACCCACAACAACTTGCGGGATGCGCCTTACTTTCTCCAACACTATTTCCTCTTTACCTCCTTGAGCCACCCTGATACCCTTACCTATCCTTGCTTTCTTCTCTCCTTCCCACCCACAAACCAACCCACTTTTTATCTGCTCCTCATCTTCAGCTATTTATTATTTACTTCATTTATATTCCCCGTTTCTCTGCAATGGGGTCCATCTCCATAATTAAGGAGATGTAATTATCTCCTTAAATTTATTCTCACAGCATCCCTGGGAGATACATTAGGCTGAGTGTACATAATTGGCCCAAGGTCACCCAGTGAGCTTCCATGGCAGAGAGAGGATTAAGATCCCTGTCACTCAGATCCTAGTCTGAAACTCTAACTGGTATACCAGACTGGCTTTGGTGGTGTGGCTACTGTAGCAAGCAGCTGGGCCTGGATGAGTCATGCAAGTCAGGTGGTATCACTTCACAAGGTGGTTGCTGCCAGGCCTGGCCTCAATGGTCAAGGCAGCCCTGCAAAGGGGCCTGACCCCCTGCGTTTTACTGACAGAAACTAGGGCTTGAACTCTGGCAATACTCTGTTGTGGTTACCTAGCAATGGTCACAGAGGGCATTCATTTCTTAAAGCTACAAGTGCTGCTCCTATTACAGGGAGGGTGGATTAGCCTCCAATTTTGTTTAAACTTCCAGATTTTTCTGCAAAGCTAGGGTTTTCCTCAAGTTTGTAAAAAGATCTGTCTGTTCATGACTCCAGTATCCATATATAAGTATCCACAGGTCTGGCCACAATGAGAATCAGAAATACTGACACTTGCATAGGAAGCTATGTATGCAAGTCCAAATTACACAATCTGTACTTTTACCTTCCTAAAATTTCCTTGGAGAAGGAAAACTCAGTAAGAACTAAGCTTGGGCTGCTAAAGCAACATGTGACCACCAACTTTAAAAAAAAGAACAAGGCAGGAATATCTCCATCATAGTTTTCCATTAGCTTTATGATAGAAGAGAGCTTTTAAGATTAGATAGCAATGACACTGCATCATCCACATACAATAAAAGATTCAATTAATATTTTCCAAACCTTAGTTTAATAATCCCTTGTAGTGCAAGTGAGCAAAACCAAATAGAAGAGAGGCAACTGAGTAATCTCACCTTGGACCATATGCCAAATTAATCAAATCCAGAATACATTCAATTTTGGCCTGAGACCAGATGGCAACAAAACAGTTGCAACTGTCAGATACTTTCTAGGGGATTACATTATATAGCATCCAGATAAATCACATCAGAAATAATTCCTATGCATGCCGTATAAAAATGTACTTTTGAAGAACTGTTTCTTTAAAATTTTATTTGACCACAAGTAATTTTTATTTTAATTTTTTAGAAATACTAGATACTAGGTATATGATGGTAATATATTATTGCAGAATTACTGCGGAATTTAATGTTTAACATTGCTAAACTTAGTCCTTAATACTAACTGTATGATACTAAATTCAGGGTTTTTTTTAAAAAAATCTGTGTTTATTGCAAGATCTATGGGGGTTTTTTCAAATTTTATTTTTTCCTGCACCTCCCATGGCAAACATATATGCATTTAGGTAGCACAGAATTACCACATTGCCTGGTTTCATGATTTGGCTTGCAGTCTTTCCCAACATCTTTGTTTTACATGTTATCTAAAACAAAACCTCTAATCCAGCTGTTAGAATATACAAGGAGGACTTGACGGGAGGACTCTTCAGTGGTCCCTTTTTACATGCTATTCCCACTTTTCCTCCTGTTTCTTCTTCCCTTTCAGCCTCTCCCCTTTCCAGTTCCTTCCCTCTCACTCATGTACCTTATCTGTTTTCCTTCCCCACCCCTTCAGCCACCACTCTCCTCCATTTGACTAATTCTTCCTTCTCATGTTCCCCATATTCTCTCTCATCCCAGTCATGGCTCCTGATCCCTTCCTGGTTGCAGCCACAAAATGCTGGCCACCATTTTGTTGCTGTGGCAAACCTGGGAACTCTCCAGCCTTGTACTAACATTCCCTTTACCTATGTTACCCCATTATGTAGATTTTTTGACATACATAGTAAGGTCAAGTTAAAAGTATATATCATATCTAATTCCCTTTGGGAATTAAAAAAAATAGACTAGGCCAAATATATCTTCCATGGGGCATGGCTTTCAAAGTACAAGTGTAATTTCTGAATTCAAAGTCACATTCCAGTGAAATGAGGGCAGCACCACCGGATCTCACACTGTCTGATTTGACAGCAATTGATCTGAAGTCACACTTACCTCATACCTGCATTCTAAATATGGACAACTGGGAGGCCCAGTGACAGATATGGAACCACACAAGTAGGAGTTCCACCTGCACCACTTCCACCTGCACTGAGCACATACTTGGAGCTGTACAAAGGCTACTGGTTTTTGGAATGGACCATCATATTGATCTTACTTCATCTATATTTGCATATTTTTTCTTTAACTATCTAGTTCCTAGTTAAATTCCATTCTTCTAGGTATTTTCTAAAACAATGGTCTGTGGCAAAGAGGTTGCTATCATAACACTGGAAGTCCCTTATTACTGAACTATTGGGGGGGGGGGGAGATGAAGCTCATGATGCAAGAAAAGTTTCTAAGGAAGATTCACTTAAAACACCTTTTCACTGGGCAGAAATTTGTTTCCGTAATTAAGCTTGCCCTATTCTCTCTCCCCTTTTATTTCTTTCCAACTCTTTGCTATTTATTTCTTGTTAGTTCTTGGAGAAAGTTGTAGGTGAGAGTGGATGAAATTGAGTTTTTTAAAAATATTGCAGACATTTGTTAAATAAAGGACAGTAACATTTGCAAATAAAAGACACATAAAACAACAGGAACACAGTGTTGTTATTAAACAGACTGTCACCATAACAGCCTGAAAACAACTAGCTAAAAGGCTGCAGAAAAAAGTGCAGAGAGCTAAGCAGTCTGCTGTTCAACAAATCCTATGATGAAAGATCTCCCCCAAACAGATCAACACCTGTTTACAGGACAATCACGTTTGCCACCAGTACACCAGAACCATAATGGCATTTCCAGCAGCAAACATGCAAAGCATAAACAACATGGTGCCTCAAACACCTTTTATGTGTAAGGACCTAGTTTTGTCATTCACGCTTTATGTAGACAGTAAGCTACAAACATAACAAAAACCTAAACACACACAGGACAGACACACAAATCCACAGTCCAACCTGTTTGCATTGGCTTGTCTAGACACTTCCTCGAATCTTTTCACTCTTTTCCTAATTGCATCAGCATCAGGTGAATGATGATGACCTGCAGGCCCATTAGGAACTCCTGGATGAACTCCAGGTGGAAGTCCTCTGTAGATAAATACGTAATTTTCATTACTTTTGTCTAGTGCTGCATGTTCTCTGCTTCTGAATGAAGGCAAACATACCTGTCAACAGGCTCTGGAGCTTGCTTTTCTCTCAGTTCAGTCTCTTTTCCCTCTGCTATTTTAATGTTTTCCCTTTGTTGTTGCATCTGATCAAAAATAGCATGATAGTGTTCATATAGTCCTCGAGCTAGCACAGGTGAAGGCACCACACCTCCTCCGCCACCAAAACACTGAGCCTACAAATTTAACAACATGCTCTTATATTATGATTCAAACAAATACTGTCTGATTCTAACACACACTAGCTGCTCTAGTTGTCCTGAAGAAGACAGCACAGTCAAATTCAGAAATTCTAATTTTAAAATGCACAATGTGACACTGTTTATACTATAGCCTTCTGCTATTTGGTCATTTAAATAAGTGTCTGTTCATAAGTCTAAGAATTACTTGGTATGATACCGAATTCTTTGGTAAGATGTTGAATTCTAGTAATACAAAGATGTGCAGATATGTGCTCACATATTACTCAAAACCATCATGTAGCTTCCTTGGAAAAACAGTTACTATAGTACCAACATCTAAAACACTCTGAAGAAATCTATGTGAATTCATTTCACCATCTACTCTAGTAGACACCCCTTCACGTTAAAACATGTAGCAATTTAATGTCTGATGTAGTAAATATTATTGATCAATACAATAGCTTCTAGGCTCTTTCCAGATGCCCTACATGGTCATTCACTGGAACGTGTAACATATGACACATACCTTGGACTCAAGTGAGGCATTTCTCACTTAGAGCACATCCCCTCCCATTACATAGCCCAGAGCTACATTTAACATAGGCTGAAAGGCAGGCACTTGCAGATTTGAGGAGCCTGCTGAGGTAGACCATTGAGTGGACACAGCATGGTGTCTCATGCCATCCCCCTTCTAGCATGTCACCAAAGGGTCAGAACAGTGAAAACAGCTGAAATTGCCACAGATGTTTGGTGTATTAGCAACTGAAATTCCTTTGAAGGAAGGCAACACTCTGCAGGTAACTGAAAGGGATAGAAAGGCTGCTGATGTATCCCACAGCTGCTACCAACCTTGGCTTCACCACTTCCACCTGCACTGAGCACATTCCTCCATCCCTGCTCCCTGGCTCTGTTTATTCGATCCATCTAGAAAGGAAAACAAACTGAATCCAAACATTGTTAAAGAAAGTCAAACCTCACAACAAAAAGCAAGAAGTCAAGGTATCTTTACCTTCTCTTTCTCAAGTCTTCTCATTTGTTCTACCTTCATGAAACTGATCTGTAAAATGAAATATCAGAGCATGTGAACTGAGAAACTAAGCTACCAAAAAGCCACAGTAACTCACAAAACACTCATCAATTCTGTTTTTAAAAAACAATAAAAATACCTGTTAGCAGAGACAAACTCTTCACTATTTTCTAATTTACCTGTTCTCTCTGTCGTTTTTCCTTCTCAAAAATTTCTAGCCTTTTCTTTTTAGCAGCTTCCTGAAAAGTAAATACAAATTTAAACTCTAAAATCATCATTTCATCACAGTTAGATCAGGATGGTTAGGACATGAAAATATGTTCCAGGAAAGAAAAAAAGGTTAGAGAGTATCTAATAAGGAGGAAAGGTTTGAAGGTTTCATTTGATATTTAAAAGTTCTTAGCTTAATTTTTTTTCTCCTTTAATCTCTTTATACCTCAAACATTTTCCTCCTTTCTTCTCCTGGTTTCCCTTTCTTCACAGGAGATGGACAGGCCTAAACAAATTGAAACTATAAATTAGAACGAGTACATATTGTTTGTTCTAGATGACAATTCTTGAGAGTAGAATCTATGAGGGAGTATATCTATGCTGTTAATTTTTAAGACTTTACAGAGCCTATTATAGCCCAAACCTATGCGAGTTTGCTCAGAAGTAAGCTCAACTTTGTTCAACGTGGCTTATTCAGAGACAACCTTGCATCATACAACACAACCCTACACACATTCACTTCCAGGGGTCATAGTGATTTCAGTTAAATTTTACTTCCTGGTAGGCACACATAGGATTAATATCAGAATCATAAAGAAATGTTTTGCTTAGAGAATTAAAATCTATGTATTGCCTTTATTAGGGTAACCAAAATGATACAAAAAATTGTACAAGCTTTTAAGCTCATTAGAACTCTTCATCAGGCCAGATGTTAAAAGAAAAATTTAGGGGAGAAAAAAGCAGATTTTTTTCAGGCCATGATTTTAAGGCCTGATCTTATAAGCATTTGGTTTGTGCAGGCTTTTGCTCTTCTGCCACTTATCTGCACAACAGTATGGCTAAAACCCAATTACTCACCAGACAACATTTAAGCTAGGTTTTGAGTTATAGGACATGAAAGAAACAGCAAAGCACTTTTGTAATGTAGCTGGTCTACTGCAGATTGTCTTGAAGTTGTCAAATAGATGTTATAGTTCTTTAGCACAACACAAGACAACACGAGGGGAAATTTTCCCAACTGAATATGGTTCCAACTCAATACAGTTCCAAGTAGGTTTTCTATTAAAAGATGCATCCCCATGTCTCAATAAGTCCCTAATCATAACTATTAAGAGTGCTCTAATGAGAACAACTGTATTTCATAACTATTTATTGGATAACGATGATAAAACAGCAAATGCAAGAACTGTAGCTACTGATTTCACACATATTAGAATATTTCAAATTTCAAAAATATAGCTAAGTATTTTGCAAACAGGCAAAAAAACATACAACCACCATTGCCTTTTTATCATGTGGGAGAACATCAAGTTACTTACTATTAAAGAATACAAATTTTGAAAAGGTATTAGACAAAATTCTCACCTTGGATTAAGAATTCTGTCTATATAAAAACGTGTGAAGTCACCTCCAAAATACTTCCCTTAAGCCACACATTATGGTCTCTTATATTTATAGCTTGCACATTCTTGCCCACACTTCGTAGCATTAACTGGGGCCACCTTGGACACCTTGCATATGACCATGCACTGCAACCCAGTTGTGCTTGTTGACATAAATTATATATTTACTTAGATTATTTATAGTCCACCTTTCTCAATGAGACTCAGTGCAGATTATACAATGTAACTTAATACAGTCAGCAGGATGAGACATATGGTATACAAAATAAAAAGACAGGACACTGCAGAACTATCCATTCAGCATGCAGTGTTCACAGCTTTTCCACTGGTGAAAAATGGAATGATGGGGTTCTCTCTGCCACCAAAAAGGCGGTGATGGGGAATCATAGGGTCTGCATGGACAAGAGACATGTGAGATGGGACCAGTAGAAAGGAGGAATTACTGGGTGATACTGAATGAAAAAAGCCGGCTGGATCCAGCCCTTCCCATTCAAGAAAATATACTTTTATTTTCTTATTGAATCTTTTTCCTCACCTGTCTACATTTAAGCAAAGGCTTCTCATAGTACTTTTTAGCTCCACTCCCAGGTTTTTTAAAGGTTAAAGGCACTCCATACTTAGCAGCAGGTTTGGTAATTTTCTGAGCAGGTGCAGCGGAGGCCAGGTTTTGTCCTTGAGCTGGTCTCTTTACTACATGAGAAAGGGGGAGGGGGAAGACACTGAAGATTACATATCTGAATATAATTGCAAAGCTGTGTTCCTGTAGAAATCTCCCTCAAGACAGATGACATGACAGATCAGATTTAGCCTTGGCTGTTCTGAGCCAAGTACACACCTAGTTTGGCATAATACTGGTCTGCTTGTCCATTTTAATACCAAAGAAAATGGAAACTGCTTTTAATTTTCCCATTATGCTGATAAAACAAAATATTCCTTCAAACCTAAGATGCCCTCCTCATACACAGAAGGCACTATAAATCTTGCAAAGAGGACTGTATTGCAGAATACTTTATGCGTAACCCTTTAATGGTATATTGGGCCATTTCAAATTATTAGTTGGCAAACAAAATGGTCAGATATGGCAACAGAGGTCCATCCATGACCTCAATTTCAAAACTAGTTTTCTAGAGGATCATTGTTATTTACTTAAAACATTTATATCCCACCTTCTCTTTTTAGACTCAGAGCAGCTAGCAATGCAACAAGTGTCAAGAACTCAACTATGTAAGTCCATGAACAGGATAAGAACAAACATGCAGATTATTGCTTTCCTTTATACAGAAGCTAACAGGCACAAAAAATTATAACAATACAATAAGGACCTTGATTAACTCATCATGAAGTCTACATTATATAACTCATCACGAGGCCGATATTATTATAAATAAATAAATTTTATAAATTTATTATAAATAAATATTATATAACCATGAGAGAGGTTTTAAAAATACACTACTTTTTAACTTGTTCATTAATGATTTGGAGATGGGAGTAAGCAGTGAAGTGGCTAAATTTGCGGATGATACGAAGTTGTTCAGGGTGGTGAAAACCAGTGAGGATTGTGAGGCACTCCAAAGGGATCTGTCAAGGATGGGCAAGTGGGCGTCAACATGGCAAATGGGGTTCAATGTGGCCAAGTGCAAGGTGATGCACATTGGAGCCAAAAATCCCAAATATAAATACACATTGATGGGGTCTGAACTGGCAGAGACTGAGCAAGAGAGAGATCTTGGAGTTGTAGTAGATAACTCACTGAAAATGTCGAGACAGTGTGTGACTGCAATAAAAAAAGCCAATGTTATGCTGGGGATTATTAGGAAGGGTATTGAAAACAGATCAGCCAATATAATAATGCCCCTATATAAATCAATGGTGAGACCTCATTTGGAATACTGTGTGCAATTCTGGTCACCACACCTTAAAAAGGATATTATAGCTTTGGAAAAAGTGCAGAAAAGGGCAACTCGAATGATAAAAGGGTTGGAACACTTTCCCTATGAGGAAAGGTTAAAGCGCTTAGGGCTCTTTAGCTTGGAGAAAAGACGACTGAGGGGTGACATGATCGAGGTTTATAAGATTATGCATGGGAAAGAGCAGGTAAAGAAAGAGGTACTTTTCTCCCTTTCTCACAATACAAGAACTCGTGGGCACTCCATGAAACTGCAGAGCGGTCGGGTTAGAACGGATAAAAGGAAGTACTTCTTCACCCAAAGAGTGATTAACACATGGAATTCACTGCCACAGGAGGTGGTGGCGGCTACAAGCATGGACGGCTTCAAAAGGGAATTAGATAAGCATATGGAGCAGAGGTCCATCAGTGGCTATTAGCCACAAGGTATAGATAGATAGATAACGAACATGAAATTGAGCAAACTTCAGATGGCAGCGGAAGATAGGAGGATCTGGCGGGATCTGGTCCATGGGGTCGCGAAGAGTTGGACTCGACTGTGCGACTGAACAACAACAACATAGATAGGGGCTCTGGGGCAAGAGATGCTCTGTCTTCTTGGTGCTTGGGGGGGGGTCAACAGTGGGAGGGCTTCTAATGTCCTGGCCCCACTGGTGGACCTCCTGATGGTACCTGGTATTTCTGGCCACTGTGTGACACAGAGTTTTGGACTGGATGGGCCTTTAGCCTGATCCAACATTGGCTTCTCTTATGTTTTTAGCTGCTGTCATCTACATTTTCACAGTTTGGGGATCAGGTTAGGGTATACCGGCAAATTCTCTCTAATCACATCTAAAGATAATTTTTCCCCATACATTACCTGGTGCAGCATGCTGTCCAAACTTTTGCAATACTTTATGGCTGAATTCTTCTGCAATAAGCTAGAACAATAATGTTATGTTAGCAGCTAAAACAGTTGCATGCATTATTACAAAGTTAGAATATTTATAGGGACAGCTGCATCTTGACAGATGCTAATGTATTCCTACATCTGAATGCTGTTTACTGTTTAGGAAATGGAGCTCAAACTAGAATCAAACCCAATTTTATTGAAAATAAGCTAAAGGAACTACTTAAAAAGTACTGATACGGCAATAAACCAGTCTGAATTACAACTGAAAGTCCTACAAGCTGTTTAATAAGAACATGAACCACTTGCCTCAATCCAGAGGCCCATTACCTACAAACCTTAATGAACAAGTGGAATTCTAGCATAGAACGGATTTCAGCCTCTGCCATCTGGGTATGATTTCTGCACGTATACATACAACCAACACTGAGATGGCAGCGACTCATGAAAGACTTCTTATTAGAACTGCCATGTGCACACTGGTGAACCTACGAAATTTTGAATTAGTGTTTTATAGCATCTAAATACATATTCTGCACTATAAGGGGAGAAAATGGCTAAAGGAAATATCTAGAATGGTACCAAGCTTTCGCAACTCAGTGACAGAAATTCATGCAAAATGTTGCCATCACATTCATACCTCACCCACATTTCCAACACCTGCTGTTTGGATATTGTTACAGTGGTATCACGGTTAGAGTACAGGACTAAGATTTGGGAGACCTAGATCTGAATCACTAGTCCATCATGGAAACTCACTGGAGGACTCCAGAACAATCACTATTTCTGAGCCTAGCCTAGTTCACAGGCTTGTTGCTGTTGTGAAGATAAAATGAAGAAGGGGTCCCCATTGGGGAAAAAAGCAGGGCAAAAAATAAATATCATTAATCACTATTGTTTTATTCTTCACTGTAAGCAATTTACAAATGCAGTACTAAATCACTCCTCCAGTATGTATGTACATACGTATGCACATTAAAGGTAAAGGTTCCCTTGCTCGAAAGCCAGTCGAGTCCGACTCTAGGGTTGCGGTGCTCATCTCCATTTCAAAGCCGAAGAGCCAGCACTGTCCGAAGACGTTTCTGTGGTCATGTGGCCGGCATGACTAAACACCAAGGCGCACGGAACGCTGTTACCTTCCCACCGAAGTGGTACCTATTTATCTACTTGCAATTTCTTGCTTTCGAACTGCTAGGTTGGCAGGAGTATGCACGTTGCAAAGCACTTAAAATGGATTTTCAGAAGAGCTTCTAGAACTGACTTCTTTCTAAATATACTTGTAAGAAAAAGCCCATTACCGTACCTGTGGTGTGAGAAATTTTTCAATGCGTTTAGCTATAAAATTTTTCTCCAATATGGAGTTGACTGATGGTCTATCCCTAGGATTTCTCTTAAACAATTGTGAAGTTAGATTCCGGAGTTCATACGAATAATGTACAGAAACAGGTGGAAATGATCCAGAGATTATCTTGAGTACCAAATTCTTCATATTTCCAGCTTCAAACTAGAGAGATAGAGACAATTTGTACTCATCAGAGAGCAGCAATTAATTACCACCACAACAAGGGACAACTAGACTTTACACCTCCACATAATTCAGAAATATTTTAAAATATTTGAAAAAGTTGTCTCAACTTTCATTCCACATCAAAATTGAACCTATCACGTTGCCATACTAACCCCATCTCTTCTAGCACAGAGGGACAGAAAATAAAGAACAAACAGCTGCTTGTCACAGGCAATTAAATAACGGCTCCAAGTACTGCAAGATAAACATTTTCTCAGGAACTGGTGAGGTGAAGTCAGTGTGGCGTAGTGGCTATATAAAGGGTTGGCTGAGGACCTAAGAGACTGGGATCAAATCACCATTCTGCCATGGAAGCTTTCACCAGTCACTGTCTCTTTAATTAAACTATCTTGTGAGAATAAAATTATGAAGAGGAGAATGATGTTATAAGCCAATTTGGGTCTTCACCGGGGAGTAAAGCGGAACATGAACATATAAACTCAGAATGCTCACTGGATGACCATGAGCTAGTCACTCCTTCTCAATCGAGTCTTCCTCATAGGGCTGACTGAACATATTTGACTGAGTCCAGCCCTTCTGCTGAAGGAAGAAGGGATCATTTTCAATTAACCCACGAATAATGCCTAGCTCTGTTCCTCTTTGGCTCTGGAAGCAATGCTGAAGGAGCCAACCCCTAACACCTGAAAGAGGTAAATTCATTCTAAAAGTTTTCTAAAATGTTTACTTACTGCATGTTTCAGTGTACACATTTCGTAGAGAACACAACCAAGAGCCCATATGTCACTAAAGAAGAAAACAGAGAATGTTAGTGTGCACTGACCCAGACCTTCCCAGTGTACTAGTTAAGTCTTGAAACTTGGGCCTAGTTTACATCTTCTTAAATAAACTATTCCAGGAGTTCATGCATTTCAGTGGGGGCAAATTCTCCATACATCTTTTGGCGCTTCCAAGCCCATGGAAATCCACAAGGACACGGCTTACTTGTGTAGGCTGTACAATAAATGCACCTCAAGCTCAAAAAGCAGCCAGAAGTGAAATGTGAATAGAATGCCTGTAAGGAGCTTCTGTTGCACTGCTTCCTGAGTAATGATGATGGCGCCAGCAGACACTATGTCTTTATCCTCTGCAGGAAGGAATTCTAAAAGCATCCTTCTCAAAACACGCAAAGAACACTAATCTCCACTAATCATCTGGATTATGCTTAGACCAGCCTTATTCTATGGCAAAATAAATCAGCAATTATATCAACAGATTTTGGGCACTGTTAAATGACATCAAGTAGATAAGTATTAAACTGATCTACTTTCGCTGCAATAGACACTTTATACCCAAGCAGAAAAATTTAGACTGGACCTAGGTTGGCACATCTTGGTGATTATGGAAAGTGTTCTAAGAAACAAGATGGTGGAAAATGGATACTTCATAAATTTTGGCAGATAACATTCTACATAATTTTGGGCATACATAACTTTGATTTGCCTCTATCCCACAATTGTAAATGAGATGAAGTAGAAGTGTTCTAGCTTATGCACTTTGATACGAGTTTGACAGAAATAAAGCAAAGCTAAATAAAAGTCAGGGTAAGGTCTATGCTAAAGAATACCTTTTATTGTTGTAAGGCTTGTTCTCACAGATTTCAGGTGACAAGTAATAAGGCGTTCCTATGCAAGTTCGAGCAAGCTCCACTGTACTAAAATAAAATCAGAAGAATTATTAATGAATTAAAATGCTAGACAGTATTGCGATAACTGGAAAAATATTTGAATGTTACCTATTGAGCACTCTAGCTATTCCAAAGTCTCCCAGCTGTATTGTGCCATCTTTGGTTAAAAATATATTCTAAAGTCAAAAGAGAAAAAAGTGAGTAGAAGACCAACAAGAGCATAGTCTTTGTAACAAGAACATACTCTATGCATCTTAACATAATTGCCACTTTCAACCAAAGTTTAATAGTGGAAAACACTCTTGGTTAAAAGCACTTTAACAAACATGGCAAGAAAAATTACTTACTATATCAAAAGACACATTTGAAAAAAAAAATCAAGATAATGTTCTTCTGCTAAATGTAACCAAAGTCCTTATTTTCACATACTACCAATGAGGTGATAAGGTTGAGTCTGAAATATACCACTGCAGATTGCAGGCAGGAACTCCCTGACATACTACTTTCTATAGGGGGGGGGGGTATGGTGTACTCAGTCCATATGACCTGGACTGCACTCTAAAGTGGTACAGTCCAGACCACAGATATATCACTGTATCGGATGCTTATGAGAACAAGGCCCAAGTCTTTCCATTAGAAAACGGAAATTTAACAGTTTCTCCTGCCTACCTGTGACTTTATATCTCGATGCAAAATCTTTCTATCATGTACATGTTTTAACGCTAAGCAGATCTGTACAAACCAATCCATGATCTAAAATTAACAATAAAGACAACACTTGTTAGAAAAATGTATCTTCAAACATGGAGAGTAGAACAGCTATAAATGCATACTCTGATGTTCAAGTTTAGTGGCATACAGTTTCCTTTATTCATTTTTTCCTCATACAGTTTCCAGTTGTACAATTTCCTAACATTAAGGATGAAAGATTTTGGTTATCATTGTAAACTTGATCAATTCCGGAAATATATCATAAGGTATTTTGGATGGGATCGAAAGGACTGAAAGCACAGTTTCACTTGTAGAAGAGATCCCTTCCATCTCTCCTTTCTTGCTGCAGCTTACTGCTCTCAATAAAATACTGCTTCTAGAAGCTGGGGACTCTCATGAGCAGTGTAATGTACACGTCTGCCATAAGAAGGGGGAAAGTGGCAAAAATCATGCCCCCTACACGCATTTCCACTAGCAGATGACGACTTTGGCTCCAATCATGTTGTAGCAGCACCCTATATTACACGTGTTGTACCGAAAATAGTTTAAACACACATTTAAAGCCTGTCTTTCCATCCCAAATTGGATCCTTAAGAACGGTTACACTAGTTTAAAACACAGTAAGTACAACGTTACCCACAATAACCTAATACAATTAAAAACAGCCTTTATGTAGGAGAAAAAATTACTGCCTACCATAAACAATCTTAAACAGTCTCAAAGCAGTAGTCCAACATATTAGGCCCACAGCACCATAGGCAATATATAAGGACAGACAACAAACCCAACTGATTGCACAGCCACATAAAGCCTGCATCACTTTTATGAACAAGACAGACCCTATACCACCATGTGCAAGGCCTGCAAGTGATATGTATAACTATGTTGGGAATGTAGGAAATAAAGTGCTACACATGTTATACTCTTTGCCAATGCTTTATCTTTTTCTTTTTTTGTATTTTTTCATATGTGCATATCTGTGCGCGCGCATGTACCTGGAAGTCACGGCAACCTCTGGTGACTGACACGTACTGGAAGCCTGGAGGATATTCAGAGGTGGCTGAATAAAGCCTTCCCCCACCTCCCATCTCTAGTATTTCAAGGAGGTCTCCCACACAAGTACTTGCCGGAGTTGACCCTGCCCAGCTTCCGAGATCGGGCTTGCCTGGGCTACCCAGGTCAGGGCAATACGTTCTGTTACCTCAAATGCTGGAGAAGGATCACCACCAACTGCAATTCCCTGGGCAGGTAAATGGCATAGTGTTGGATTTTTCTTGGTGTTCTGGTCTTACACAAGACTTAAACCACAAGACAGAACTGCTAATGCACTTGCTATACCACTGTATTTCTGCAGTCTAACACACAGCAGACCAAAAACTATGGCGGTAGCAGGAGTACAGGTAGGACTGTCAACAGCCTGGTGAGAAGATGCCCTGCCCCTAGAGGCCTAACTGGATGTTATTACCTCCATGTCATGAAAACTCCAGCTGTCCATTTGCACACATTAAGCTTCTACTGAAGAGAGAGATTTTTCTTCCTTTAGGCTGTTGGCAACCCTAAGTACAGGGAGCTGCTATTATTTATTTGAAAGATAGGCCACGGGCAATTACTGCAAGCCGCAGATGCAGTTACATGGCTACTACTACAGACCAATATAGTGGACATATACAAGGCAGAGATTATCAAGCAGTAGACCCCAAAGCCAGTTACCTGGTCTTCTGAAAACAAGACACCTTTCTGTGCATTAATTTTCTTGAACAGATCTCCTCCTTCGCAATAATCCATCACTATGTAAAGACAGCCACTTTCTACAAATGAAAATATCATGAAATACATTTTTGTTAGTAGTGAACACAAGAAGCAGCTGCTTAATTTTTTTTTTTTTGGGGGGGGTCTAATTTCCCAACAACACTTATTTTCCAACTCAGTTCAAGAGATGGGAGACTTACAGCTTGATCTTAAACATGTTCAGAATTCTTACAGATTTCAGCATGACTTTATTCTAAGCAAGCATGCATGAAACTGTAGAAACTGAAAATCATGACACCGAGAAATAGTTATGCAAAGCATAAAGGATGATGATGATGATAATAATGATGATAATAATAATAATAATAATAATAATAATAATAATAATAATAATAATAATAATAATGTTTTCCCCTTCAGTCAAATTGACATTTTCATACTTAATACACATGCTGCGTCTTAAAACCTAACCTTCAAATGATTCTCTGTACAGGACAATATTCGGATGTTTCATGTTTGCCAATACAGCAACTTCTCGCCTTGATTCTTCTCTCTCTTTGTTTGACATCTTAAAAACACAAAAATATATTTCTTAGAAAACAAATATACGAGATCTAGTCTGTGAGCCAAGAGCCAAAAATGGACATATTGGTATCAAGTAAGGTGGCAAAACTTCTTTTAAGTTTTTTCTGAAAGGTGTATTACATTTTAATGCAACAGCCTGTTCTGATGGTACTTTAAGCTTTTCATGATGTCATCAAGATGGCCAAAGTCATTTCCCTACTTGTTCTAATTTGAGCTAGTGAACCAAACTACCAATTTCAAATTTTAGAGCACTGTGGGAAAGCTAATAAATTCACTTACTAATATCTAACACCTGTAATGCCTGTATCCATTATCATTTTTGTGATATAAGTCATAAATCAAAGAAAGAAGCTGGCATAATAGACCCCCTGGTCTTAGGCCCCGTAAGTGGGGAGAGGTGACAAATATATCAGACACTTATACCTTTGTCTTTTGCCTTTCCGATGAACCATACCATGAAGCAATTCATTCTGATATGCCACATTAGGTACATGAGAACCACATTCTATGTGATTTCTATCCAACGTAACTGGATAACAGGGAACTTTGTGTTACTGCAAATAAATATATTTTCATTCTTTTAGTTCAGCAATTGCTCAATATGCTCATGCTTTTTATCTACAGACCTTACATTATCATTTCACAACTGCTAGCATCTCCCCCCCCCAACTATTTGTAATGTTCATCACAGAATCATAGAATCAACAGAGCTGGAAGAGGCCATACAGGCTATCTAGTCCAACCCCCTGCCCAATGCAGGATCAGCCTAAAGCATCCCTGACAAGTGTTTGTCCAGCTGCTGCTTAAAGACTGCCAGTGATTCCACTGTTGAACAACTCTTACTGTAAAAAAGTTTTTCCTCATATCCAGCTGGTACTTTCCTGCCCTTAATTTAAACCCATTATTGTGAGTCCTATCGTCTGCTGTCAACAGGAACAGCTCCCTGACCTCCTCTACGTGACAGCCCTTCAAATATTTAAAGAGAGCCATCATGTCCACCCTCAAACTCCTCTTCTCCAGACTAAACATTCCCAAGTCCCTTAGCATTTCCTCATAGGGTTCGGTCTCCTACGTGAGTGATTTCACTGAAATAACTGAAATAATCTGAGTCCTCAAGTTCAACTGCAAAGTCCACATCTGAGGGGGGTTTGGGGTGTGTGGGTGTGTGTTGCTACATGTCTCTAATTTACACACAGCAGTGCAAATAGTAAGACCACGGGACAGGCGTGACTGGTTTGACAGATGACAGGAATTCATACACGTGCATAACATCTCAAAAACTGCAACTGGTGCAGGTAGTTCACGCATCCAATCAACAACAAGATTGCCATCCATAATCTTTTGTCCTAGGTACATTTGGCAGGCTTTGCAAACGGTGTCTTTAAATTCCTGCCTGCCAGTTGACCCTGAGTGTGTGCATGAACAAGCAATCTTTGTATGGTGGCAGCTGGCTGGACTCCACCTCTGGACAACTGGCATTAAAGAAGTTCATAAGACTTGTTCATTTACAGAAGTAGTGCAACTATTTGGAACATACATTTGATAGGTGAATTGCTGTACCTTCTCGAACAACTCAGTAGAGATTTCCCGTGTCTTCTCTAGGTGAATGAATGTCTCCCACTAGACTTTTCTCAGTAGACTCAAAAGAGTGAATTTACCCTGAACTGAAAAAATCACTCACTCACATTGTCACAGTAGAATGTGAGTAAGAAAAGAGTAAGAATCCAGTAACACCTTAAAGACTAACAAAAATTTGTGGTAGAATATGAGCTTTCATGAGTCACTGCTCACTTCTTCATGTCTTTAAGTTGCTGCTGGACTTTCTCTTTTCTGCTGCTGCAGACAGACTAACATGACTACCAATCTTGATCTATCACATTGTCACAGCCAGTGAAGGCACATAGTCCAATCATGACAACAGACATGTTCTGTCCAAGGAAACTTCTGTGTTTGCTTATGTCAGTCAATCCTGTGTGACTCTTTATCCTGCATTTAATGAACACGGGCCATGTAAATCCAAGCATTGTATGAGTACATCTGCATCTCCTGAAACTACAGATTTTGTCCCACGCTTTGCTGCATGTAATGCATGCAGCAACACCCTACTGTCAACTCTTCTTGAGTAGACCTCAGCTCTCATACCTCTTCCCAAAAGTCTCTGGTGATCTTGAAACAGACTTAATCACTTGTTGCACAAAGTGTTTTTTCTCCCAACCCCATGTACTTAGGCGTCCTCCACTGTTGCATCAATCACTTGATGAGATCATATTTGTTAGATGAACTGCAGCTAAAAACTGTTGTATTTTTTGAACTGGTGTAGAATTCCTCAGCACACAAACACTTGTTCTTCCCTTGTAACTTTCAGCATTTTTATAGAAGTTTCCAGTTATACATCAAAAACAACATCTATCCTTTCACTATGGATTCCCATAAAGCAAAACACAGAACATAGGTTCTGCTAGCAGTTCAAATGTCTTCTCATTGTCCTTCCTCTTCTGCACTAAATTCATTCTATCAGTGATGCAGGTACATGGGACTGGTATGTTTTCTGCCAGAGATACATTTTTCCAACACTCCGGCAAGCACAGCTGTGTTAGTCTTCTGGGTTGATCCATCTGCAGCTGCAGGTGCCCAAAGCAAAAGTCCCAGAAGGTGAGCTAAGACATTTCACATAAGCAGCAGTCCTCTTTGGACAACAAAGAGCATATGCCCAAGGAGCTTTTGGTCAGCCTTGAGATCAACTTCCTTGGTTTTACCGTAACTGCATTCTGTCCATATGCTGACACTGAAAATGTACTCAGGTTCTGCTTGGACATCTTGTTATGAAAATGAGTAGTTGTAGAGTTTACTCCCAAACGCATCTTGTTAAATTCCAAATATGCTGTTTTTCCAAATTCATGAGCTATGAGAAAATCCCTGGAAACGTAGCGTTAGGGGTGGGTGGGTTCTAAACCAGTGAACAAGCTAGCCAAATCTGCCTGATCTTGGCTCACTGGTGTCAGCTAGTTGTTCATCAGCTCAACCTTTTCCTTGCTTTTTCCCCCTGTTCTAGCCAGGTGGGAAATTGCATGTGCAATCTTACTGCTGCATTGACCAGTCATGCCTCTTCTACAAAAACATACACCTGTATTCTGATGTGAGATAGTACTTATCAACAGCTCCTGTACTGAGAATAAATTCCTTTGTTACTCCTGGTAGTTGAGTGTCTTTGTTCTTCTATTGTCTGGTCTACAGGAAACCACTCAAAGGGATTGGTCCTAACTGCACTGAAACCCCACCTTGTGTGAAATAGTAACGTATGTCTGGGTGTTCAAAGGGAAGAGTGGTCATCTGAGCATAACACCATGTCCGACTGGAGATTGTGGGGG